TAAGCCAAAGCCCCTAAACTAACTCTGCTAATCTCTCTTTGATCAATATCTTCCCGTAAGCCAAAGCTTCTCAATTGAGGTGTCTCAAACATGAGGACTGCAGAGACTTCCTATTCCATTTTTCATCACAAAAAAAAAAAAATAATAATAATAATAAACGAAAAACGAAGAACATATTTCCTGCTGCAGAAAACTTCAAGCCATATCTCCAACTGCAAATTCCTACTATATCAAAACATGGAAACTGCAGAAACTTCCTGCTGCACTTACAAACAAATATATCTCCTACTGCAAATTCCTACTATATCACAAACATGGAAACTGCAGAAACTTCCTGCTGCACTTACAAACAAATATTCTCCCAAAAACACTTCAAACTTCAACTGCATTAAAAACTAGTTCTGCAAACTTTTTCTGCTCCCAAAAACACTCCAAACTTCAACTGCATTAACAACTAGTTCTGCAAATTTTTTTTGCACAAACTTCAACTGCAATGTTTAACTGCATTACAAGCAAAATACTACTACACACACTGCAAAATTCTCTACAAACGTTTTTTGCAAACTTCAACTATATCACAACCATGAGAACTACAGAAACTTCCTGCTACACTTACAAACAAATATTCTCCCAAAAACACTCCAAACTTCATCTGCATTAACAACTAGTTCTGCAAACTTTTTCTGCACAAACTTCAACTGCATTATAAACAAAAACTTCTGCTCTATAAACACTACAAACTTCAACTGCATTAGAAGCAAAATACTTCTACACACACTGCAAAATTTTTCTTCAAAAATCCTACTGCATTACAAACAAAAAATCTCCTGCTTCAGAAGTTTACTCTAACTAATACATCAACAAATTTCAACTCCACCACAAACTATATCTCTTGGCTGCTGTGAACACTAGTTACAAGTTTAGATGTGATAGTTAGCTTCTCCCTTAGCATAGCAAAACGTGAACAAGAGAGAGCTTTAGTTAGGACATCAGCTATCTGATATTTAGATGAAACATACTGCACATTTAACATTTTCGTGTAACTAATTCCCTAACAAAATGCACATCAATTTCGATGTGCTTTGTTCGGGCATGAAAAACAGGATTTGAGGATAATGCCCCAGTACTCATGTTATCACACCATATGACGAGAGTGTTATTTATGTGAATGTCAAGTTCCTTGAATAAGTTCTGAATCCATACAAGTTCAGTGGTTGTTTGATTAAGAGATCTATATTCAGCTTCTGTAGATGATAAGGACACTACCTTTTGTTTTCTAGATGACCATTGGACCAAGTTGCCTCCAAGAAAAGCAGTGTACCCACTGGTGGATCTCCTATCAGTTTCATCTCCAGCCCAATCAGCATCTGAAAATGCTTATAAAGTAAAGGGCTAATTCTTTGTAAAGAGAATACCATGCTGCATTGTTCCCTTAACATATCGGAGGATTCTTTTACGTGCTGTCCAATGAGCTTTAGTGGGCTGCTACAAGAACTGGCTGAGCTTGTTTACAGCAAAGGCCAAATCTGACTGAGAGTGTTAGATACTAAAGGCCACCAATGACACTTCTATAGAATGTGAGCTGATCAAATACCTTATTATCCTCATTTCCAAGTCGAAGACCAGTAGCCATGGGGGTGGAGTAAAGCTTTGAGTCTGCCATTCTTGCCTTTAAGAGCAGATCATGTGCATATTTAGTCTGGGATAGTAGTAAACTAGACTCATTTCTCTTTACCTCAAAACCCAGGAAGTACTGCACTGTCCCAAGAGTTTTTAGAGCAAATTTGCTATTCAAGTCAGCAATCAAACTTGATATGAGCTGAGAATCATTCCCTGTTACAAGTATATCATCTACATATACTAACAAATACATTAGCTTGGAATCCTTTTTGTAAAAAAATAAACTCACATCTAAAACAGAGTTTTCAAAGCTCCAATTAATCAACGCAGATTTGAGTTTGTCAAACGAAGCTCTAGGAGCTTGTTTTAAGCCATACAATGCTTTATGAAGTTTGCAAACCTGATCAGGCTGACCCTTAGCTGCTGCAGTACCAGAATACCCTTTAGGAGGAAGCATAAAGACTGTTTCAGAGAGCTCCACATTCAGGAATGCATTATTAACATCCAACTACTGGATTTCCCAATTTTGATGCACTGCATAGGATAACATTACTCTGATGGTGGCTACTTTAATAATCGAAGAAAATGTATCAAAATAATCTAGACTAGGTGTTTGTTGGAAGCCTTTAGCAACCAACCTGGCCTTATACTTTTGAAGTGTCCCATCAGAATTTAATTTTGTTCTAAACACCCATTTAGATCCTACAACATTCATTCCTTCTTCATAAGGAACAATCTCTCATGTGTTATTGCTCATCAAAGCCTGATATTCAGTGTCCATGGCTTGTTTCCACTCAGGGCTTAACAATGCTTCAGTAACTCTTTTAGGTTCAAAAAGAATAGAAGTGTGTGTAACTTCAGCTTGATAAGCAATGGAACCAGGATTAGGATAAGTGGCTGACTTTGATCTGGTGATCATGGGATGTGTGTTTAAAGATGAGGTATTGGGCAGTGGAAGAACTACTTCCAAGTTAATTCCAGGACATGTGAAATCTGATTCAAGGGAGGTTGAATTTGTATTCATATTTGATGTATCAAGCTGATCAGGTTGTACTGATGATACAGAAGCAAGATTGGGTGAAACAGCAGGTTGAACAGGGTTTGAATCAGGTCGTATTGTTGATATTGGAGACAGGTTGGATAAGGCAGCAGGTTTAACAGGTTCTGGAGTAGGAATACATTCGGGTGTTAAAGCAAGCAGGTTGGATAAGGCAGCAGGTTTAACAGGTTCTGGAGCAGGAATACATTTAGGTGTTAAAGCAAGTTGGGAATAATGTTCTATAGGAGTAGATTCTATACAATCAGAAACACTTTGAGGTAAGATCCATGAGTTACTAGTGGTGTTTAAACTAAGTTCAACTAGAGATGTACAGCTATCAAAGTGAATGAACCAAAATCACTCTTGAATGGAAAATTTGTCTCATTGAACTTAACTTGCTTAGCAACATACAATCTGCCAGTAGAGGCCAAACACAAATATCCTTTATGGGCAAGACTGTATCCAAGAAAAGCACACTTCTCAGTATGATAAGAGAGTTTGTGTCTGTGATATGGCCTCAAGTAGGGATAACAACTACATCCAAAAACCTTTAATTCGGTGTAGTTAGGCTGTTATTTAAATAAAACAAAAAATGGTGAGGCAGATTCAAGAACTGAGGTGGGTAGTCTGTTTATCAGGTATGTAGCTGTGCTAAAGGCTGCCCACCAATATTTTAATGGCATACCAACATGAGCTAGAAGGGATAACCCAAATTATGTAATAGTCCTGTGTTTTCTCTCCACTCGCCCATTTTGTTGGTGTAAATGTGGACATGGATGTCTAAACAAAATACCATTCTATTGTAAATAACCACTAAATGATCTATATTCACCTCCCCAATCAGTTTGTAGACCTCTTAGTTTATAACCTAATTGTTTTTCCACAAAGCAATGAAATTGCACAAATGCTCCATGAGCTTCAGATTTGAATTTCAAAGGATAAATCCAAGTAAACCGGCTAAAGTCATCAACAAATATGATATAATACTTGAATTCTTCCCTAGAATTGATTGGAGCTGGTCCCCAAAGATCAGAATAAACTAACTGTAAAGGATCATTGGCTCTAGAGTGAGAAATAGGAATTGGCATTGTTGCAACTTACCAAACTGACATGCCTCACAAAAGAAACTTTTATTTTTGCTCAAAGAGTGTTTTACATTCAGTTTGTCCAAGATGACATGAAGGGTTCTAACATTGGGATGTCCTAACCTTACATGCCATAATATACACAAATCTGAATTTGTAAACTTATTCATAATAGTAGTAGACTAAACATCATCAATAGAACACTTATTAACCATAGCTGTGATAGGAATATTAAAATTTTCTGAAGCCTGACCAACAACAGGGAGAGACGAAACTAAAATTGATGACTGATGAACCAGTGGGCTGACAAACTGTGGCAGTTCAAGCTGGTACAATCCATCCTTGACTGCACCTTGAAGAAGAACAGGTCTACTACACTTATCCTTTACCATACAATGGTCAGAATGAAACTCCACAATGACATTGTTATCTTTAGTGATTTGAGAAATACTTAGTAAGTTCTTTACAATGTTGGGAACACATAGTATATTCTTAAGATGAATCAATCTAGATGTGTCATAAGAGGGTACCAACATCATACCTGTATGAGTAATAGGAATGGATTCCCCATTCCTAACTTGCACCTTTGAACTTCCTAAGTGAGTAGTTTTGAACACCAAGTTAGAACCATCTACAGTCATGTGATTGGAGGCTCCAGAGTCCATATACCAAGACTGATCTTGCAAGATTTGTGGAGAGGCCATTGCTTGATAAGAGGTTGCTGAAGATTGAGGTGCTTCATTGGTAGCTATTTTGGGTGTAAGGCTGACAGACTGACCAATATTAGTTGAGGGACCAGGATAGTATTGTTGATATTGTACTGACTAAAAATTTGTAGGAGGTCGTGCATTTGACTTAGACATAAGAGGAGTGGAATAATCATGAAACTCTGTAAAGTTGTTGTGAAAGGTATTGGCAGAGTGTTATGTGTAGTTTGGAGGTTGTGTGTAGTTTGGATGTTGTGTGTAATTTGCTGCAATTAAGGCTTGTGCAAGTTCAGTATTGTGTTGAGCAATGACAGTTGAGGAAGGACCTGTTGAATTGGACATATTAGGCTGCATCTGAGAGCTGTAAGAATTGGCAGTAAAGCCTTGATACTCCTGATCAAATCAGTGGTAACATTAGATGGCAGAATGGCCTGATTTACCACACACTTGGCATACTAGTCTCAGCTTGAAGTAACTTCTGCCTCTGCCTCTGCCTCTTACCATGTTGTTTTGAAACTAAAAGTGTCCAGCAGAGTGTTGTGTATTTGGTCAGTAACCAGTTCTTCCATAACTTGCTCCTTGATAATTGCTCTGTCCAAAATCAAAACTACTTGCTGCAAGATATACTAACCCAGGAATTGGACCAGAGTTTGTAATATTAACATTGGGGCTGTGTGAATATCCATGACCAACAGCTTGACCATGAAATGGTACAAGCATTCTTTGACCAGATGAGTTAGTCAGAGGATTAGAGTAGTTAGTGGTGTTTTCTTGCTTGGAAGCAAATAGGGCAGAGTTTAAGTGCTCATGAAAATTTGACAGAGCCGAGTGTTGTCTTTCCAGTCTCATTTCGTGCTTATGAAGCATGAATTGAGCTTGTTGAATGGTTGCATTGCTACTGTGATATGTCAAATTTACCACAACAACGTCGTACTCTGGTCCTAGACCATCCAGTATATACAAGAGCAACTCTTTTTCTCCAATGTTAACACCACTTGCTACTAACTCATCCCCTAATTCCTTCATTTTCAGGACATACTCATTAATGCTTAAAAAGTCCTTTTTTGTGGTCTGCAACATATTTCTTAAGTAAAGTGTTCTAGCCTTCGAAATTGACTGAAAATGCAATTCTAGCATGTTTCATATTTCATACGCACTAATACACTTAGCTACGTGTCTGAACATGGATTCAGCGATTGACGAAAACAACCAACTAACTAAAAACTGATCTGTTCTTTTCCAGTTAAGATACTTAGGGTTTTGTTTCTTCACTAATTCATCAAAATCAATACGCTTTTCAAAAAGGAACATAGATGGACAGATACTCTCACCAGTGATAAAGCTTTCAAGACCATGTGAAGCTAACGCTGGAAAAACTTGTGACCTCCAGTTAATTCTTCTCCATGAGTTTTACTGATATGGTGGGAAGTTTAGAGTGAGCAGCTGAGTTATTTGCGTTTGCATTTTCAGCTGACTCAACTTCAGATTTTGACGAAACATTTAAGGAATCAGGATTCGAAGCCACTGACACTGGTCTACAGCTCTGATACCATGAAAGATTAGTGGCGGATTTGAAAAGAAAATAAAAGGAAATGAATGAATCGAAAGAGAAAAGAGAAAGACTCTGTTTCGTGTTCTGATAGTCTTATATATGGAAAGAGATTGTGGCTGGCAAATGTCGCTAGCTACCATGTCACCTACAACAAACCAATAAGTTCCAAGTCCAAGGACAAAAGAGAAAAATAGTATATATATATATATATGTATGATGTTTTTATTCATTAGTTAGTGGGGCATATATGACACATCATCGTTATTAATATCAACAGAATTTTCTTTTTATGTATGTACCATAGTATCATTAATGAGCCACATAATATTTATATCATGTTTTCATCCCGAACTTGCAGTTGGATTTCTTCACAATAGCCTAGAAAAATAAAACCAATAATAGGCAAAAGTGAGGTTTCTTGTTTAATTAATTAAAAAGTAATTAATCTAAGTACAGGTATGTTGTATAATATATAACAAGTTGGTTTTCTTGGACGAAAACTCAATTGTCTGCACATTCAATATAATAAGAAAAAGGAGCTCTCGCAAGACATGAGCTACATATATTTAGCTTTTTCTTAACGCATTGCTGTTTAATCCCATTTGAGCACCCTTCATTTTCTTTGAACAATACCTTAAAATATTCTAAGACAAAACTTCTCTCCTATATATGATTATGAAACTTATACACTTTTTTTATATATTGATTTCCTGTTGTTAATTCTTGGCAAATTGAAGAGCCAACTTGTTATAATTAATTTATGGGGTGATACATAAATGACTCTATTCGAAATTTTAATTTTTTATATAAAATTCAAGATTTTCTTAGTTTGAACATATTAAGAGCTAAAATTTTATACTAAGTACGAGAACCGAAAACCAAATACAGAAAAAGTGGCTATGCGGTATCATTAATGGATCTTAGAAAGTTTCCAAATTTTGAAAAGACTTTTGGGTATATATAGGTCATTGTTAATTTATGGTAAACCCGACAATAATTTAGAATTTAAAGTAGTAGTTGCATCTCCATTAGATCAATTGTTGAAGTGAAGCCCAAAACGTTGGCATTTTGCACTCACTCATACGCTGCCATTTAAAGCTTCACATGTGATGATCCTTACCATTGAAAGCCATCAACATGTGACGGCCAGCATTCATCCTACAAGTCAACCTCTATAAGCACACTATTCTACAGAACAATAGCTCTATTCTCCCTTTGTGCGATTAGGGTTATTTGCTCTGTTAGGGTTTTTCAATCTAGTCTCAAATTCTTGTGATCTTTGTACAATCTATGTAATCATAGGTTAAAGGTTGTGTTTCCTTCATTTGTAGAGAAGCTGGTTTAGGCTTTCTCTTGGGATTAAAGGTTTGAGAGGTTAGTCAAGATTGAGAGTTATGTGATTGATTCTAGTACTATTGTAATCTGTAAGTTCTTGATCTCTAGTGCAGTGAGCCCCAAATTCCTTGTGCTCAACGTAGATGTAACTTATTCAATATTTGAATAAGTGAACCACGGCAAAATCGCGCGTTCTTGTGCTTGATCTTTTTGTGTGTACTTTGATCTGTGTGTTTGATGTGTTAAGTGGTTAGGATTAGTTTATGAGTAATGCTACAGTTACCGAAGGGTGTGCAATGAATTTGTGCACCGAATGATGTGGTAAAATCCTGACCGTTGATTCATTATAAGTTAATATTAATCAACGGTTAGGATTTTGCCACGTCATTCGGTGCACGAATTCGGTGTATAACTTTCGGTAACTCTATCATTTTTCTTAGTTTATTGATAACAAATTTGTATAACAGTGGTATCAAAGCAAGGTTAGGATTGTCAATCTCTGGGGTTTCTTATTCTTGAAATCTAAGGTTTGTCAAAAATTGGGGATTTCTTGATTAATAGGCTCGGTGGAGTCTAGGGTTAGAAATTTCCTAAATTCAACTTATCAATTTCTTGAAAATTAGGAATCGATCTTGATTTCTAGGGTTTTGTTGAGTAATCACCAAACACAATCACTTAGGTCTAACTATGAGCACAACACAAGTTGAGATCACCCAGTATGATGGGAGGATCAATTTTAGTAGTTGGCAAAAGAAAATGAAGGCATTGTTGTCTCACAACAAAGTGGCAATCGTGCTAGAAAAAGATGCTACCAAGTGGTCAGATGAGAAGTTGAAGAAGAAAGCTGAGGTTGATGAGGAGGCCTACAACCTCATCACATGAATCTCTTCGACAACGTGCTATGAAAGGTAGATAGGTTTGAAACACCAATCACTCTCTAGGGTAAGTTTGAATCTCTTTACGCTTTACAATCTGTACCTAACCTTGCATATTTGAAAGGTGTTTTACTCTCTTATAAAATGGATATTTCTAGGACTGTAGAGGAGAACCTGGATGAGTTCTTGAAAATGACCCTAATTCTTAAGGGTACTGATCAAGAACTCAGTGATTCCAACCTAGCTATGATTCTTTTGAATTCATTAACTAAGGAGTATCATGTGGTAAAGAATGCATTGCAGTACACTGGAACTGTCCCTAGTGTAGAGTTAATTGTTTCTAGACTAAAAGCTAGGGAACTAGAACTTAGGGTTCCAAAGAGGAGTAGGAATAACCTGTTTGTTAAGGGTAAGGGAGAGACAAGTCAAATGGGTAGTAATGCTCACTATCTACGAACGAAAAGAAGGGTAAAAACTTACATAAGCCTAAAGGGGAAACCAACAAGTACTTTTACTGTAATAAAACAGGCCATCTAAAGAAAAACTATTTTGAGTGGATTAAAAAATAGAAACATGCTAACACTGAAAGTAATCTAGCTTCCACTAAACACAATATTGAAGAATCAGAGGTCCTGATTGTGTCTAAGTCTGATAATGTAATGGAATGGGTACTGGATTCCGGTTGCTCATTCCACATAAGTCCAAATAAGAATTGGTTCCAAGATTTTGAAGCAAATGCATGACCTTGAGATAGTGTTCATGGATAATAACAACGCTTGTAAGGTTCAAGGGGTTGGTAACATAACCTTGAGGCTGAATAATGGGAAATTTGTTAAACTAAAGGTCAGGTATATTCTGGGTGTTGTTATAAGGCTGTAAATGGGTGCCTAAATGTTTATAGGCGTAACAACATAGTTCTTAGTGGGGTAAAAAGAAATAGGCTATACATTTTGTGTGGGAATCACTGTTCTAGTTGCTTAAATATTGTACTACTTACTACAAACCTCACTGCTATGGAGAAATGGCATTTAAGGTTAGGCCACATGAGCCAGAAAGGTTTGGACACTCTAAGTAAACAGGGACTGTTTGGTAAGGATACAATTGATGCTCTTGAATTCTGTGAAACATGTATAATGGGGAAGCAACATATGTTGAGTTTCCAAAAGAGGACTCACCTAGCTACAAACTGCTTAGAATACTTGCATGCTAATCTATAGGGCCTGAAATAGTAAAGTCTCATGGGGGCAGTAGCTATTTCTTGTCTATAGTTGATGACTATAGTAGGAAAGTCTGAGTATACTTACTTAAGACTAAGGATGAGGCATTGGGTAGGTAAGTGTAGAAAATTAGATTGATAAAAAGGCTAAAGCTCTTAAGACAGATAATGAGCTAGAGTTCTATAATTCAGAGTTTGACAGTTATTGTAGTGATCAGGGCATATTGAGATATAGAACAGTTACGAATACCCCTCAGCAAAATGGGGTTGCTCAGAGAATGAATATAACCTTGTTAGAGAAGGTCAGATGCCTACTGTTTACATCAGGCCTACCAACGACCTTTTAGGGAGAAGCCCTAAACACTGCAGCCTACTTAGTCAATAGAAGCCTTTCTAGTGCAATATATTTCATATGCCTTGAGGAAAGATGGTCTAAAAGGAAGCCTAACTTGAGCCACTTTAGGGTTTTTGGGTGTGCAGCCTATGCACCCACAAATGAAAGAAAACTTGAACCTAGATCTTTAAAGTTTGTGTTCCTCGGATATCAAGAAGGAACAAAAGGGTATATGTTGTGGTAAATAAGTGCACCAGGGATTAAAATCACCATTAGTAGAGATATCCTAATGTAGAAATTGAAGTGGAAGCCTTGGATCATGACTCTAAAGATGAACCAGTAAAGAACCTCGAATTACCTCAAGAGGAATCTTTGTCATAGTATCAACTGACCAAAGATAGAACCCAAAGGGAAATCAGACCACTAGCCAGATATTCCTATGCTGACCTAATCTATACTGCATTGGTGGCTGGAGCTGAAGTGCTGAGAATTGAACCTAATAGCTATGAGAAGGCAATCAGGTCAAATGACAGAGAAAAGGCAGGCTGTAATGGAAGAAGAAATGTAGTCCTTGAAGGTGAATGGAACTTGGTCTCTAGTTCCAAATCCCAAAGACTAGAAATTGGTGGACTGCAAATGGTTATTCAAGGTAAAAGAAGGTATAAACTTTTTTGATCCCCCTAGGTATAAGGCTAGACTTGTAGCTAAAGGCTACATATAAAGGGAAGGCATAGACTTTAAGGAAATTTTCTCACCTGTAGTTAAGTATAAAACTATTAGGCTCATGTTGTCTTTAGTTGCACATTATGACTTAGAACTAGAGCA